GGAAACCAGATTTTTAAGCCGGAGGAAGGGCAGCCGGGGAGAACGCCTGCATGGGTGCCGGGTCTCCTCCAGACCACCTGCACAGTCCCCACCGCGAAGGGCTGTTTTGTCTTCCTTTTTTCCCCCCCCTCCCCTAAAGTATTTGTTCTCTTGAGGGCCAGGGAAGCTGAGCCAGCGCCGGTGCGTACGCTGTGCCCGCTGGGTGCTGGGGTAGGAGAGGGGAACGCCGCCCCAGCGCAGGTGTCCTTGGGTGTCCCCGGTGTGTCACCACCAGTACCCGCTGGACCTGGCCGGGGTGCCCCCGGCAGCGCCGGGGCCGGTGCGAGTAGCTGCTCCTGCCCGCGAAGTTTGACCCAGGCTTTGAGGTTTTACTGGTGTAAGTAGGTCTGCAGGGCTGTGGCGCCTTTATGCTGTGAGGAGAAGTTGGGTGCTAGTGTATTTGGGCTGAGCGCTGGCAGAATGAGCCTCGGGACCCTCTTGGGGAGGGCCTGGTTTCAGTTCTGCCAGCAAAATAACCCCTTGGGGCTATGCGGTGCCTTTCTTCTGGGGCAGAATAAAGTCGTGCTAGTTCAGCTATGTTGGCGTGCCCTAAAAAAGAGAAAGACGGCTACAAATCTCTCCAACTTCCCCTAGTATCTCGGGTTTTGGTATTTTTGCATTCTGGGGCTGAAAGTGAATGGTATTTGTAAGTTCTCTTTTAACCATTGAGATGGTGTGTTCCAGGTCCCCTGTCACTTTAGCAGCATGTACGTTCTGGCTTGCTTTATTGGCAAGAACCTGGAAATCTCCTCCTAATTTTGGTCCCACCACTTAGGATTTCTTCAAAGTTTTTTCCTGTTCTTTGTATTTACCAGCAGGAGTGGTTACTACAGCCGAAACTCAGGAGCACATCAGGCTGTCAGTGTCGTGCCAAAGCTTTCCCTTGATCTAAATATAGCAAAGGAAAACTAATTCTCTTCATCTAACTGCCATTAAGGCGAACAGTAGGTATAAGCAGGAATTTTAACTCTCAAGTGGATTATTAAGTGTTCTACCAGCCTATAGGAGCTGTTCTGTACTGCGTATTGTACTGGTATTATTTGCGATGGCTGAAATGCAAAGCAAAGGATTTGTTTGCAGCGTGGTGATCTTGTAGGATGAAATTAAAAGGCAAACCAAGGCTAGATCCTAATGTTAATGGCCCAGTTTCATCAAAATCCATAAAGCTGATTTATTGCAGTTGAGGAAGGAGGTCCCTTGCACAAAGGACATCTGGAATGAGAGAAATGGTGACTGATGCTCTCCTGCAGGCTTCACAAGACTGCTATAAAGCAGGACTCATATTCCCACCTCAGCTGCTCTGTTATAAGAAGGACTTACTACTGACGTGGGTTTTGTCCCCTTTCATTTTTGCCATGCAGTTTTGAGAGTTTGGTCTTTTGGCTCTTAAACATCAGATGATTTTTGAATGGGACCTAATGGTTTGAATCCGTCCACAGAGGAAAAAGGAAAACCTTGCCAGATACCCTGCAACCTAGCGCGTCAGTTTGATGATGGTCTGGCATGTGTTGTTCATCTCTTTCATTTACTGTATTCGGTAGACCATGCTGTATAGAATTCTGTGAATATAGATAGAGCTTGCATTTCCACCCCCTCCCCACCCTGAAAGCTCCTACTGTTGCTGTAGCCAGAAAGGAGGCGTGCTTGTCTCAGCCCTCCATGCTTTCCTTTTCTGAACTGTCCTTCCCCCTTTTCAGCTTAGCCTAGGAAAACACAGTCAGTATGCACCGATATATTTAGTGTCACGTGCATGAGTAGGAAAGATGGTTCCCATGCTTTCCATTACGGGGTACCCAGCGTCCTTGGGAGGCAGAAATCATCTCCACAAGGCCCCTTCCCGTAGTTTAGCTGGTGAAATGATATCAGAAAACAATGTGGCTTTATAGCACCCCTTTCTTGCTTGCCTGGTGCTCTGTGGCTCCTTTATTGTTTGACAAGTAAGCCCCCAGGGCAGAGGCTTTATTGTCTGCTCTGCTCAGCCCAAAGGGTGCTGTTGTGCTGGGTAGTGGGCGTGAGGGTGACCAGGCTGGTCCTTCCTCCCCTGAAGGACAGAGTGCTTAAACCAAAGCTCTCTCCAGCAGCCAGCACAGCCTTGGTGCCAGTTCAGAGTGCAGCTCTGATGAATAAATGGTGGCTTTATACAAACTCCCTGCTGGGTCCGCGGTGGGGCAGAGGGGGAGGGCCGGTGTTCCTGCCTCTGCAAACTGTATGTCAAAGACCCCTGCTTGGCCAAGAGCCACACTGCTGTAGGTATTGCAGACCTGAGGGGAGGGTGGGGTGGTTGTCTGGGAGCGAGCAGAAGGCTTGCCACCATAAGGCTCGACCCTACTGGAAGGGGGATGGCCCATTGCTCATTGCTCCTTTTTCCTACTGTGGGTACTGGCACTGGGGCTGCTCTCCTGGAGAGCTGGTCCTGCTGGAACCTGGCTCTGTGACAGCAAAGGTAAACAAGTGCCTATTGTCTTTTCAAAAGAGCTAGACAGCTGATGAGCACCTGGTGTTGGCACCAGCAAGACTAAGGGTGGTGGGACAAGCCCTTTAGCAGGACCACATATTGAGGTGAGTTTAAGGTAGCTGTGAGTACAGCATCTGAGGATTTGTGGAGGGCTGGTTGCCACAGGAGCTCCTGTAAAATCCCAGATACATTGGGCACTGTTTGTGTCAGCCCTCACTGAAGTTAAAGCCTTGTAAATAAGGGACAGCAAAGCTCTGTTCAGGTCTGAATCTGCCTGCTGACCAGAAGTGGTGTTGCATCTTTGCATTTGTCCATATCCTTGTTGAGGGAGAATAACAGAAAATGTCCAGCTTAAAACCAGCTGTATTACAACATAAGATTCTTTTTCCATCGTGGAAATCGTGGAGGTTAGTAATTAGTACTGTGGTTTTGCTATTGTTTTAACTTCTCCAGTGGGCACAACTAGGGTGTTGAAAGTAGGCTAATTGGCTGTCCCTTCTAAATCCTCTGCAGAATTGCTCTGTTCATATAGCAAAAATTGTGTTGCAGTTTATTTCAATACTGGGAGAAAAAGATCTTTAATATTTTTTTTTTATATTTAAGTTGTTAAAACCTAATATTGGCCCCAAACTATCAGCAGATCTTTATTTCTTCCCTGGTCTCTGACATGGGGAGAAGGTTTTGAGAGTAAGGTAAATTCCATGGGTCACAGATCCCATGGCATGCATAACTTAACCTGTTCACCAGAAGTATGTCGTGATTGAATGACTTTATGTTCCTGGCTTCTTTAAAGAAGGCCTTAATCCTATAACTGAACCAGAATCTAGGCTCTCAACTATAGATTATGATCCCCCATGTATTCATTCAGAGGAGCGTGTTAAGCACACGGAGTGGAAATTTCGGGCTCTGTAAGAAATAAGCCCACAAGCCGTAGGTGTTAGGTGTCTCACTCAGTAAGAACACAGTATTACTGTGAAGCTGACTGGCCTGGCTCAAGGGCTACTGCTTTCTTTTCCTTAACTGTACCGCTTTTATCACTAAGAGAGGAACAAAATTACATGAAAAGGCTTGAAGAGAAGGCAGGGGAGGAGCAGATGTCTGAAAAACATTTCACTTGGGCAGATTGAGTTGACATTCTAAAATTTCTTCAAGGTGCCAGATGTGTTGAGGAGGTTGTGAAAGAAAGGGGAATCTCCAACTCCTCCCTCTCTTCTTCCTCCAAAGCGAATTTCAGTTTCTTTAGTGAAAAGCAAGGATATCTCACAGTTCTTCAAAGTATTCACTCTGACCTCTCAGGCTGTCTGATAGACAGCAGAGTGTATTGGTTGGACTGTGAATGCATGATTCAGATTTAAGTGACTGTGTCCAAGTCACATGGCTTCTTCAGCTTCCTCTTCTGAGTTGGATATATTTCCTGAGACACACAGGCTTTTTCTCCCGAGATCCTTGGGTAAAATACTGCAGAGGAGGTGTTCTTGTAGATATTACAGCTTTACAATACATTAGAGGTCTGGTTTTGCTTAGGGACAGATGGCTGGAATCAGAAGGTGACTGAATTATCCTTATTTACTTCAGTTGCTTTGTTAAGCTGACTTAATAAAGGATAAAAGGAATTTTCCTACCACCTGCTTTTACAGCTTCCTGAATTCCTGGCTTTAAGGCTGTTTTGCAGTATCCAAGGCAGCATACCTCTTCTCTCTGGTGTCTAGAAAGAAGGGCTGTTCCTTTCCTCTCTGTACTGTGCCACTGCTTTTCTTGTTTTTCTGCACAGCAGTAGGTGGAAAGAGGCCAAATGTTTCTAGCCCCCGCTTTTATATTCTAAGTTGTTGCCCATGCAAGTGGTTTTGCTTTTAGTCTCAAGGCAACGTAAGGAAAAAAAAAAAGATGGCTCACCTAAGGAGACAGGTCTTTTCCTTTCTACACAAACCTCTCCTTGTCCATGGGCAAAGAGAAGAACTGCTTATGAAATTCATCTGGTTAATAAACAGTCATAACAGGGAAGACAGCGTGTAACTCCTGGTTAGTGGCTTATGTAAAGCCAAGGCTCTGAGTTACTAAGAAACTTCTGCTACCTGCTGATGCTTATGGGAGTGTTGTGTAAGAGCTGAGCTCTCTTAGCTTTCTAGCAGGCAGCCAGCATTTCAGGTGAAGCTTTCTTTGGCCCATGCAAAACAAACACTAAGCACTGAGAAACCTCCTTTGTGAAAGTCGAGGTGTACTAATGGGAGAGGGGAAATGGAGGCAGCAACTGTGAAAGCTGTGGCAAAGAAGAAGTATTAAATTGCTTCAGGGCTGCATTTTGCTCTTCTCCCTGACCGCAAAAGTCACAGTGCCTTTAACTGAATGGGTTGTCATGCCTGGGGTGACAGCAGGGTAAATCAGCTGTTAGAAGGAGATGGAGTTACACAGTATGCCGTAGCCTCCTTGCTGAAGTTGTGTCTCCTCTTCAGACTTCCAGTTGTTTGCACTGTGGTCTTCACTGTTTCTCATTCCTTCTGCCTCAGCCTTGAGTAGTGCTTGGCCGTGCTCCTCCTGAGCGCTCCCTGGGAAAGCGACGATGATCACATTCATGAACAACTCGGACAGCGAGGAGGAGCCCTGCAATGAGAGAACATCTCTGATGTCTGCAGAGAGCCCTCCAGTACCCTCCTACCAGGATGGCCTACAAGCCTCAGAAGCAGGGGAGGCGCAGGCACATAGGGTAGGTATGCGTCCTTCCCGGGGAGTGAAGAAATGGGGTATGATGACAGATGTAGTCCTGCTACTCCTCCATCCTTCCCAGCAGACTGGCTTCTCGGACTGGCTTTGGCCAGTGTTGTTTCTCTGGTGTCACTCTTTCAGCCAGCAGCAGCAGTGCCTGTTCCTATTTTCTCCACTGTGACTTCCCCCCTCTTTTTATCTCCATATATACTCCTCCCTTTTCCTTCCTTTTGGTGAAGAGACAGGCTTTTAATCAGGGCCTGATGCACATACGACTCTTGCAGGATATCCTTTTTGGCCTTCTTGTTTTGCCAGAAACCGTTTGGCTGCTCTGGTCAAATGCAGCAAATGGGAGAACAGAATCTAGTCCTGCTGCCAGCAAAGCCGTGGGAAGAAGCAAGCACGGCACTGCTGTGGGAGGAGGAACTGATCAAGCTTCTGCCACCTCAGATGACATTTCTTCTCGGTTCTGTGCACCTTGCCCTTCATGTGCATGTGTCCATCCATATATTTGGACTTGAAGAGGCCCTTAGATAGTCATGGTTTTGGTTTAAAAACTCCATTGCAGCCTGTTTGTAATGGAATTTCTAATTTTGTTGTTCATTTGGTACCTTCCTATTAGGAACAAGTTGAAATATGATGGAATGAAGCTTTGAACACAAAGAAAAGAAGGTCTTATATTTTTGCTAATGTTTCTTTTCAGAAGAGGCGAACAGGTAGCAGCCGTAGCCCTAACAATATTGCTGATGGGGATACGTCTGACTCGGGTGTTCCAGTGAGAGAAAGCGCCTTGGAAAATGAAGAGGAGGAACTGACTCTGAAATATGGAGCAAAGCATGTAATCATGCTCTTTGTGCCTGTCACCCTTTGTATGATTGTTGTCGTCGCCACCATAAAGTCAGTGCGCTTCTATACGGAGAAAAACGGGCAGCTGTAAGTGGGGTCTTCAAAACAGCCTCTGAGTACGTGGGATCCCTAGCTTTGCACATACGTTCCACGCATGCGTGTCTGTGTACGCAGAGCGCTTCCGTGGCAGGTTGGGAGAACCTTTACACAGCTAAAGGTGGCTGCGTAAACATGCAGAGATCTTACTAAAGTATGCTACGTTCATCTGTGTAAGTCTTTCCATACCTGCATTATACTGATTCGTTAGCACTGTCATTAGGGCACCTTAAGCGAAGCCTGTGAGCACCATAATAATGAAGTTGCTTCACACAGCAGCATAAAAGGCCCAGGCTGAACTCCTAGTCTGTTCACTCTCTAGCTGGCAGCGGTCAGGGAATAGCATGTTCATTTGGATGAGTGTCTCATTTCCTGATGACGTTTCTGGTTCCTAAAGACTCATGGTGTGGATACATAATTCCATTCAGCTCTTGCTGCCTGTGCCCAAGAGCACTCCTGGGACTCTTAATTGTGCTTCACACAGTGGGTGGAGAAACAGGGACTGTGGTCCCTTGAACTGAACCAAAGGAAACAAAATGGAGGGGGGTGTGGGGTGGTGAGAAGGGATAAAAGAGTACAAAACTCTCCTACCAAGTGTGGAAAGAAAGGGTCTCCCCTTTCAGGACAGCACCTGGGATGTATCCTTATAGTTATCATGGAGGGGGGCCAGAGCATGCAATAAAATTTCATGGCCTGCAGAGAAGTTGCTAAATTTAAATGAGGTAATTTATACTCTAGGTCCTTTTGTTTAGAGCTATGCCGGCCACAGCTTCTCTGTAGGAATGTGCTTTTGATAGAGACCACTAATCTTTAGTTGATAATTAACTGGAGCCCAGCTCCTTCAGAGGCTACATCTCATGTTTGCTGTCCTTGGCAGTCATACGTCCCTTTCTTTCCCACACTCCGAGAGGTCTGGCTTTATGTTGGGGCAGTTAGTTAGAAGACAGTGTATGTACTTTATATGGCTTTTTCTTTATACTGCAGAATCTACACCCCTTTCAGTGAGGATACCCCTTCTGTGGGCCAGCGTCTCTTGAACTCAGTGTTGAACACCATCATAATGATCAGCGTCATCGTTGTAATGACCGTGTTCCTAGTTCTGCTCTATAAATATCGCTGCTACAAGGTAAAGCATTGATGCCAGAGCATTTTCCGCCTATGTGCTGTGAATTTGAGTTCAAGTGGAGCTTGCGTGTCAGTGAGAAGGCGCAGGCACTGCGCTAGCGAGTCCACATCTTAATCATAGCAAAAATCATATTGTACAGGGGCCTTTGTCAGTGGTGGTAGAGCTGTGCCCCTGAATATGCTTTGCTGTTATTTTGTCACTAATGGTAGGCTCTTAAAAATGAGGCCTGCTACTTTGTGTTAGTCAGGTCTGAGTCTTCTCCATCTGATCATAAAGTTTTGCAGTTCGTACTTATGGACTAAGTTGTACCATTTACTGCAAACGCCTTCTCTCAAGAAGTTTCAGACAAGCTTTGCAGGAACTAGTATTCTTCCTGCCTGCGGAAGCTCTGGTGGAAGGGGATGGGGCTTGGAGGAAAGGCACACTCAGGTTTTGTGGTGCTCAGGGAGTTGTTATATGTGGTACCAGGCTCAGCATTTGAATCTTCTCCACCAAGCAGACAGAATGTGCTTACCTGTCTAAGCTAAGAGCCATAGGAGCCAGTATGCATACGCATGAAAATGAATAGGAAAGAGACTAAAAAAAAACCCCACAAACCAATAAAAACAAACACCAAGGGACAGAATATAAATGAAAAGAGTTTGGGAGAATTGGGAGCACCTGGCTGTCCCTCCTCCCTCACTGGCAGTGGGGAAGGCAGGTCTTTGGAAATTGGAGGAGGAGTGAAGGAGACTGTTGGACGATAAGAAGCTCTGTCACTAATAGTGCATGCAGCACTGCAACCTGCGTGAGTGGTAACAGCCCCTTCAAGCACTGTTTCTTCTTCCCCGTGATAGTTCATCCATGGCTGGCTGATCCTGTCCTCTTTGATGCTGCTCTTCCTCTTTACCTACATATACCTCGGGTAAGTGGGAATGGTGCAGGTAACCTGGCACTTCAGGGCTTCTTCACCTCTTTGGAGGAAATCCCCAACTTGAACAAGGGACAAATGTCTCCCCTTCTCCAAATGGAGGTTTAAAAATTGTTAGAATGAGATAGCTTGCTTTTTTAAAAAAATGGAAAATGAGGCCTTAAATAGGCAATACCAGTTTTTGCAGTGCCTACTCTACAAAAATCACTGGGAAGTGATACCGTGAGCATGAATTGAACAGGATGAGCCTTGTGGTACAGAGGCCCTGTATTACATGTTGAGAAGCAAGCGGAAAGGAACTTTATGTGCTGAGTTAGTTCTCTGATTTGTCTTGCCTTTTTCTCAGACTGCATTGTTTCAAGCTCATTCCTTTAGCTCCTGGCTCAGGTAGAACCAAGCTTTTAACTTGCTAGTGGCACTTGTTAAAACTGTTCATCTTTAACCGTGAGCATCATGCATCTGGTGGGATGACTCTTACATGACTTCTTTGCTGCAGATGGTCACGTTCAGGCCTATGTTCACTTTAGAGTTGAGACTTGAAATCCTGCCTGCTCAAACCCTTGGAATCACTGTTGACTCAGGACTAAGGCACTGTGGTGCTTGTCTGCACACACAGCACATCAATCTCCTGCAGGAGGAACAGAGAGCTAAGAGCAGCAATTGGCCACAAGGCAGGTTCCTCTTTCATGATGAGAGTTTATTCTGTCCTGCTTCCTCCTGGTGTAGTAGGAGGCTCGTTTAACTACAGCTAATAGGATGCTTTGCATGTCAGTTGCTTTTATTGCTCAGCTAAATTTTCTTGTTGTATTCCAGTGAAGTATTGAAGACATACAATGTGGCCATGGATTACCCCACTCTGTTCTTAGTCATCTGGAATTTTGGAGCTGTCGGAATGATTTGCATACATTGGAAAGGTCCCTTGCAGCTCCAGCAAGCATATCTCATTATGATCAGTGCTCTAATGGCACTGGTTTTCATTAAATACCTACCTGAGTGGTCAGCATGGGTGATTCTAGGTGCAATCTCCATCTATGGTAAGTCCAGGTTGTGACTCTGAAGGTGTAGCTCATGGAGAGGTTACTCTGAGGCAATCTCAGGACTGTATATGTCATTCACAAAACAATTTTGTGGTTCTAACAGCTTTAGAAAGAGGCAGATGGGCAATTAAGTTGACTCCCTGGCTTGTCTCTTGCTAACTGGTTCATGTAGGTATTGCGCTCCTACCATGTCCTTCAAAGTGGAACACCAAGTTGGGGAAGTACTGAACCACATCTAACTGCATGGTAGTGGTGGTTGGATTTTTATCAGTAGCAACCCAATAGTCTTGCACGTTTTGTTTACAGTTATCGGGAGATCATGGATTTTGGTATGAGTGAAAAGTTTCAAGAGAACCTGCAGAACAAGAGGTAGCTGGGAGGTGCTCTGATGGAGGAGAAAGGGCAGGCAAAGAGGAACTGGACCAAACGCCTTCATTCACGTGAAACACAGAGTCAGTGTATGTAGCGAAGGATTGTGGAATGTGAACAAAATACCCCCAGTCCTCCTCTAATTGAATTTAACACCTCAACGTAATGCTGTCATTTACTTTCTAAGAAATAATGTGATATTCTCAAGAGGCCTTTTATAGTATTAGCACAATGAAAACTCTTATTATTACATTAAGCTGTGGGGATGGTATTTTAAGTGAACAACATCTTCAGGGACCAGAACAGCTCGAGTTATGCAAAGTGGCAGAAACTGCCATTCAGGAAATCATCCAGTTAATATTGATAGATGTAATTTTGAGGGGAGCTTTTGAAAGATGAGGAATGTAAAATAGGCATGATAGTTTGAGATGAGATTGTCTGGCCCTTTTCTCTTTGCAGATCTGATGGCTGTTCTGTGTCCCAAGGGGCCACTGAGAATGCTGGTAGAAACCGCACAGGAGAGAAATGAGCCCATTTTTCCTGCATTAATATATTCCTGTGAGTAAGATAGAATGTTAATGTTTTTAGCCAGATTAAACTCGCAACCTATTTCTGTGTCAAACCAAAGAGCACTATTTTAGTTACTTCCTTGCCCTAAGATTGGTGTGCATTTATGTTCTGGAAGAGAGCATTTGTAGAAGGCCTTGTTTATCAGTTACAGTGGTGCTAACTCTAATTAGCCAAAGGGAGCTCACATTTGCCTTGTGAAGCTGAAATGTTCAAAAGTAGATTTATCCTTTTGTGAATACTGTGCAGAACATGTCTCTTTGTTCTGCATACAAAAACCTGTGTTAAATGGACAGTAGCGTTCGCAAAGTTCTGTGGTTAGATGATGCCCACTCAATACGCTTATACCTTGTGCATATGCTTTATAGAAACACTTTAAAGGTGTGATGAGGTTCCATTCTTCCTGTAGCACTCTCTTGCTCTGTGCACTGTACGGATGGCAGTGCTTAGCATATATTTGCTTTACTGTTCATTGTGTGGCTGCTGGCTTTGTAAAGGGCTCTATTCAAGTATTGCGCTGCAGACGAAATCAGTCATCTCTTCCCTGGCTTTCTTGGGCTGTTTAACTATGATGGTGTCTGGTGTCCTTATCCACAAAGGAATATACGTGCCTAAGATTAAGATAGTTGGCAGGCAGGTGGCTCAACACCTGGACTCAAGCGCTTCACGGACCTCAGTGACTTTTTTCATTACATCACTTGTAAGATGAATGGGTATTTCCAAATGTTGGGTGCTAAGCTGAGGATGCCTATGACCTGATTGATCTATTTTTCCCCCCCAAGCATTTAATGTTGTATAAATGCTTATATATGTTCCAAGCAGACCTTCTGTTGGCTTCGGCTGACCTGCCTTTTACTGGGGATTCTGTTGTATTGACTCGAGACAATCTAGATGAAGCCTCTCACGTGTTTTAGCTAACAAATGAGTTTCTCTAAAGGATAACGCAATTCAACAGATAATTAATACTGAACAGAAAGTTCTCATGCAGAACGCCAATGTCTCCATTGCAAGACCACATTCTGTGGCTCCCTCTAGACGCAAAAACATCACCTTTGCTGAGCTTGTAGTGGAAAAGCAGGCACTGTGTTTGCCTTGGCTTATTGTGTTTAGTTTAGCTTCTATAAAAACAGGAAGACTGATGCATACTTAAACAGCTGATCTGAGTTCCCTTCCACTGATTTCAGAATGGTTTGTATTCCTTTTTAATTTAGGGATCCATCTCCAGAATAAACCCCCAAACATCCTTTAGTTGTTCTTGGAAACAAAACAGAAATAACCAATATTTTGACAGGGAAGAACCAAAACAAACAGGCAGAGAGAAAACTGGTGCTCTGCCAACTCCTGCACATCCCTTGCTTGTGTGCTTTACCTTTAGCAGAACATGAGGAGTAAGCTGTGTATGTTAACCTCTGGTTACCTTTTGTACCACCATCATTTCCTGGGCAATTGTTTTCTTTGAAGAGAAGAGTCAGAAACCAAGAAGAAAACAAAGGAGATGAGGACCCCAGTTCTGGATTTTTGCTTTCTTTAGCCTACAGAGAAGACTGTACTGACTCTTAGCTATTTGTGTTCTGGGACTTCCTTAAAAACTGAGTGAATGAGTGAATTTTCTCCCACCTTGCCTTCCAAGTGCGTAGGGAAACCAACTAAAAGTGAATGTTTTAAAAGCACTTACAGGGGCAAGGGCTTGTGTTTTTAGGGACAGCTAAATACTTAGCTCCCCTGAGCTGTAGTGACTGATGTTTTATGCAACTGATTACTTTCTCTCTCTCTCTTCTAGCTGCTATGATGTGGACAGTCGGAATGGCCAAGCCAGACACAGCAGCAAGAGGACCGAGTCAGCAGACATGGGATGCAGGTTTGCTTGCATGTCACCCTTCTATACAGAGCACTGTCCCATGGAAATAATGTGTATGTTTGAGACTGCAAGTATATGTAGGCCTCTGAATCCTGATGGATGCATTCTTTTTCAGTGTTGTTACATTAGTTACAGAACTTGGTGATGTCCCGAAACCTGCTGTTAGGACTAGAAGCAAAGATGACCAGATGATGTGTGAAGCTCCAGTATTCAGGCCGTCTTTATTTAAAAATCAACCAAACACAAACCAACCGAACAAAAAAAAAAAAGCCCCAAAAGCATTGTCCAATACACATCTTCAGATGTGCTGAAGTCAAAGCTGAAAGTGGGCTAGTGGGGGTTTATATTTTTACTAGCTGGGGATAGTAAATTACAACATAGGCTCAGAAATATACTGCTGATGGCTCGCCCTGACAAAGAAAATGAATGTCTTTACATTTACCCTTGGGTAAAGGTTCATGTTTGGGCAACTACCCAACAGTAGCTGATGTGTTCCAAGTTTACATTCTAGCTGGTCCTGTGGTAATTTTTGTGCCTTTGCTTTTATCTTCTTGAAATGCAAGTTAAACTGCAGTTCTGAAGGTGACTGAATAAAATCTGACTTGTGGTGTTGGGAGGATTTACCATCTGGTCCTGTTGTACTTCAGAGAAGACAGTACCTTTTTATTTTGAAGCAGTAAATGTATGCTAAGGCTTGACAATTGAACATGCTGCTTATTTCAGGATAAAGCAGCTGACATACTTTAAACCGCAGGGACACAATCCTGCTTCGAAACAGGGCACAAAGCAGGAGCAACCTACATGCTGAGGCATACAGAATGCCACTGTGGAAGCTCTGTGTGTTGCAGACCACAGTCTGCTCACATTTGCAGTGGCAGCATCCTGTCAGACTGATGTGGACTGGAAAGTTTGTATGAGCGTTTCTGAAGAACAGGAACTGTCGGATAAAGTACTATATCACAGACTGGCTGCTTCCAAAAGCACTACCAAGTTAGATGTGTTTAACAGGACAAAAAAAAACCCCTAAATATGTAAGCAATGAAACGTGTCCACTTATTACATGTGAACACCCAGCCCCAATGTCAATGTGATTCAGGGCAGAACTCTTCTTATAAATGGCAGTCCTCTTAGTCATCCATTTTTGTTGTACTACCAGTTAATGAATATCTGAGCACCTCCACCCCAAAGATATAACAATGTGGGAGTGTATATTAAGTTTACTTGGTTTTACTTGTCATTCTAGCCTGTGCAGAGCAATGTTTAGTTCTGCCTGTGTACTTACTCTTTAAAGCCATTGAACTATTGGGTCGCTGCCAAAGAAGCTGTGAACATGTACCCTTCTGACTGTTTCAAGTAATAACACATGTTTTTCTCAAAGCCACTAAATGTCTCTGCTTGAATGGTCCTGCTGATCACACCTCCAAGAAACAAAGGGCTTACCCATTCCAGAGAAGCTTCATAGAAGTGTGGATTTCATGCATTAAAACAAGTTATAAATGTAGCTATCTCTTGTGTTTCTTTTTTTTGTCCACCCTCGGCCTTTTTTTGTGGAACCAAGCTGAGGATGGGAGAGAGAACCACAGGAGCCCTTTGCATGCAGACTCTCAGATGTCGGAGACGAGGAGTCCTGTTCCCACCCGCCCCATCACTTCTTTTGAGGAGCTCGAGGAGGAGGAAAGTAAGGGAAGCTTCATACCTTGTTTTCAGTGTAGTCAGTCAGTGCCTGACGTTTTTACTCGTTGTGGTTAACACTATGTTACCCAGTTCTGCTTAGTTGCAGTTAATTTGAAGAGTTGTGACTTGTTGAGCAACAAAGATCTGAGTCTGACTCTGTATTACTTCTTGCTGCTGCAAGAATCTGTTCTGGGAACAGAATCCCAATCTGTCCTGGGATTGTGGTTACAGTGACATCTCTTGGCTACGTGGACAATTTAGGAAGGAACGTTCACCTGCTCCCCAGGGGACAAGAATTTTTTCAGGAGGAAGCAAAACAGGAAGAGCAGAAGTAACACTTGTTTTCTTTTTCCACTTCTCTCAGGGGGTGTGAAGCTGGGCCTCGGAGACTTCATATTTTACAGTGTGCTTGTTGGGAAAGCAGCTGCCACAGCTAGTGGAGCCCTGTTTTTTAGCCATTCTTATAGTAAGTGAGCAAGCTCTTTAAAACTCAGTTACAGCCTGTTTAGCACAGCGGTGTTGCCAGAAGTACCAGCAGCTGAGCAGTGCTAAATCTCCGCAGCTAACATGCTGGGTGTTTAGGAGAAACCACCAGTGGATTTCCCAGCCCGGTGCTGCCTATAAAGACGGGCTCTAAACAGCTGCTGGGAGAAGCTGAATGATAGGGGCTGAGAGGGAGGATTCCTTGGAGCAGAACCAAGTGTGGAGATGGTGGGGGTGAAACAGCCCCAGGGAAGACAGTTACAGCTGAACTGTTAGTGTGTTTGCTTCAGTGTTAAAGACTGGGGGCTTCTGTCAGCCACAAGAGTCAATATTATGAACTCTACATTGATTAGCAAGTGTAGTTGAAAAGGTTAACTCCCTTTTGCTAAGGAAAACGGCTAAATAAGAGGATGAAGACCCATCTTGTTCTTGTGTTCATGCTGGAAAAAATAGGAAGGAAGGAGACTTAAAAATCTATGGAAATGATCAGTAAAAGCAGATGACAATTGTATTGTAACTGCTAAAGACTTGGTCCTGCCAGGTCTTAGGACCACACACTTTTGAGCTTTCACCTAGGTAGAAAATAATTACTAGGAACTTGCTGTTTACACCAGCATTCTCACGGAAACTAAGCAGAAGGGCAACGGCAGGAGTTTTAGAAGGTAGAAGAAAATGACTTACTGTGTCCTTCTTGGGCCTCCATTTCCCCACTTGGATCCCAAGGAAAGTGAAAGACAGTGACTTTCACTTGTGAAGATCATGGATCAAAAAGTCTGAGAGCTAGAAATGAGCTAACTTAAAGTGTGTTGAGTGTAGTTTTCCTGCCTCGCAGGTCAGAGAAACCTATAGGATCACCCAGCTCCACGTCCTGGGGTCCAGTGCAGGGCCCCTTTGCTGGGGGGAATGCTCTCTCTTTCTGTCCATGGGGCCAAATAGCCCATTCTGTTTCTTTTACAGTGCTGTGAAAATTTTTGGAGCTTGGTGTGTCTCTGAGGTTTTGTTATTATGGAGGAAGAGAAAAGGGCTGAGATGAGAGAAGGAATCCATACCTAAATGCACTTAGACATACTGTCTATCCAAAATGTGCAAAAGCTTTCACACATGCTCAAGAAAACAGATCTTGGCCTGCTATCCAGATAAAACCAGAATTCATCTATTATAGTAAGCAATACAGTCAAAAGAACAGCAGTGGATATTTTGTTTTGGGGGTTTTTTTTTTTTGTTCCTTTTTTACCCCAAGAGACCTTGAAAACTGAGAAGGTGTTAAAAGTACATGCTGCTGTGTATCAGTCCTCCAGTGAAAGTCCTTATCTGTACAGTTCACCGGGATTTAAGTACTTTTATCTGCTGGATCGGTACTTCATGCATAATGGCACAGAACAAAATGTAAAATAATCTGTAAACAAACTAAACTCTTGGGGTCAGCTGTATGTCAGCGCTGTTTATACCACTTTCTCAGCAAAGAGCTGTGCTCAAGATCGCTGAAGAAAATACCTGGCCAACTTGTGTGAAAGCTGAGGTGTGGGCAAATGTGCCTCGTGCCACTGGTAGCTGAGGGAGGCTTCAATTGCTGTACAGTGTATATAGCTTATTATTTGTATTTTAGTCTGATGACAGATATGTTTCTGGGCTTCTCACTATATCTCCTTTTTTATTCTCTTCTCTCTGGCAGGGTTTATGCTTAACTCTCTTATTACTGGCTGTTTTTAAGAAAGCACTGCCTGCTCTTCCCATCTCCATCACCTTTGGCTTGGTCTTTTACTTCTCGACAGACAACCTTGTGCGACCATTCATGGACACCCTGGCCTTCCACCAGCTGTATATTTAGAAGAAGCAGGAGTTAGAGGATTCTTTTTAAAGCTTTGCTGTGAAGTATGGTACACTGTTTGGAATAAGTCGTAAAGTTTTACACTTAGTGCCATATATTTGTAAGGAAAACACTAACTCTGTGACATGATGTGTACTAAAAATCTAATAGTTACGTGTTGAACTGAGACTTTTCGCAGGACTGTTGGACTCCAGGGAAAGGCCTGGCTCACTGCTGGTGTCAGAGCATTACTTTAGTGTTATTTGATGTGCACACTGGCTGTTGGGAACAGAAACCTGTATGTAGCATGGGACACTGGAGTGGTGAAGGGTCTGATCTGTGCTTCCAGAAGCTAAAGTGTTTTAGCTCTGGAATTGCAGTCAAGTTTAGCTGTACTCTGGAATTGCTAATGCTTCACACTTTTGAAGTGTTGCACAAACATGTGGTGCAAGTAAGTCATACTTGTAATCAGAAAAGCATAGCAGTCAGCATGCACAGAACGGAGCGGTGCTTTACACCTGGTCGTGAGCGTTAGAGAGGTGAGGCTGGACTTTATAAGCTGGCCTCTGTGCACACAACTTCTGTTGAAATTGCCCCAGATGCCTATTTATTCTGACCATGGTGAGACATAGTGAGCCACGACGGATCTAGCCAGGATGTCAGTGGTGGGACGTTTCAACATCAGGCTTCTGGTTCTGAGCACATCCACCACTGCAACTAACAGCTGAAGGCAGGGCTGTCCGTTCCGGTGCATCAGATCCTCAGCGTGGGAAAACAGATACCTTTTTCCTGTCTCCTCCCAGTATTTTATCTTTTTGGAAATCTTTTTCTGGGTCCATAGTACAATACTCAAATGACAATAAGGTAGAAATTACTGCACAACTCCAGTAAATCAGTTGACCTGTAACTTCTTGTGTGTATTTCTGATCTCATTTCTGTCCACTGTTGTAACCACTCCAAAGGAGGATTTACCTTCCCTTTATGAAGAGATCCTCTTACACTGATTGAGGGTTGGTTTACCTAGTTTTTGGTACTGTTTAAAGATTGATTTTTTTTAAATACAAATTTTAAAATAGCTATTTAATGTCAAAGGGACTCTTTTGGAAATACCCTCTCATAGTTTGTTGCAAAATATGGGGGTGCTACCTTTAATCTGCTGTTACATTACTCTCCATAAGGCATCATTAATGCTAGGAATATTTACACAGCCTCAGATGAGTTCTTTTGAAAAAATAAAAGTAAAAAAATCACAGTGCTTGTTACCAGTAAAAAATACAGGTCTTACTGAACCTTACTGTTTTCTCCCCTTTTAAAAATAATATTTCTACTCTGAGTCAGTTTTTTAGAAATAGCCAAGTTCTGTGATTTTTTTTTTCTTTTTGCTTGAGTCTGTTATGCAAACAAGCTCTGTTTTCTTTGACAGCTGATCAATGTCAGTGTTTCAAAATGTACCATTATGCAAGGTTTTGTGAATAATGCAATGTCGTTGAGAGATACGGAATTTAATCTCTGAAAATACTTTTTAGATAAGGCTTTGAACTACGTATTTTTAAGGTAGTGCTTTTTCCAATAGGCTTGTTCAAGCTAATCTACTTTGATATTTAACAAGGACATCACACAGGTGATTCAAATTAATTTTTAAAAAGCGCATAAAGGTTTTTACAAGTTGTGTGTGTCTCAGTTTGGACAAGTAGGTAATTCTTGCTCTTTCTTTAGTTTTCTGTCCTCGTTTCTTACGGTTTCAATGTTTGGACTTCACAGCTTCAGAGAGAGTTAATTATTACTAAAAGGTATTTCCTTTAGAAATGTAAATCATTAGAGCTTTGTCTGCTGATTTTTAAGGTTTATATGAGAGTTTGTTTATCGTTTTGTTTGTGGTTTTTTTTTTTTTTCTTTGTTGTTAACTAAACCAGGTATGGGGCCAAATTGGAATACAGTCACTTGCAAACATGACTTTACTTTTTGCATTGCATGGTGTAGAGAGGATGTGAAATATTTATATGTACTAGAAGAAATTGTAGCATATTGTTATAAACAATTTATTTCTATGAAAGCAGAATTGATATTTGAAGGAAACTGGAGGAGGGTACCTTCAAATGTTGAAGGATCACTACTGGAGCTGGCGGTTTTCTGCAGATTTGTGCTTGTCAAAGATTGGCCTTCCACTAAGCAATTCTACAGAACTTACAAAAATTGTGATTTAAAAGGTAACTGAGCGAGAGATTCTGTCAGTGCAACAAAATGTATTGTCCTGGTGAGTGATAGGAGTATATCATGTATATACTGGAGTGGTTTTAATTGTGTAAAAGTTCTTATGTATTTACTACAAATATATATTCACTGTGTGTGTTTATGTGTGTATATACACACATACACACAAGTTTTAAAATGATATTGAGTGATTTCTCATCTCATTGGACAGTTTCACCGGTGCATAAAGTGAAGTTTTATTCATGATGTTAACATTATGCAGCATGGCCTAAGATGTGAAAATGGAGAGGGCAGGATTTACTCTACTCCCAGTTGGCTACTACATGAGATTCTGACTCAGTGACCTGGCAACTTGAGTGAGCAAAGCATTTGCCTGTCTACTGTGTTCATTCACTGTTTTCAACTTGCTGCATGCTCTGCTGAACTGCAGCCTCTTTCACTCCGAAGAAATCCTAATACTCCCACTGATGCACATCCCCGAAAAAGCACAGCTGTCAGGTAGGCTGGGGTGACACCCGCCTTGATGCAGGTGTCGCTCAGCAGCCTGAAGTCCTATAGGAGGTCCCATGTGTTGGCATTTTCCTACATGATGACTGTCACACCCACTCCTCCTCTCCAGTGTCAATAAGTGTCTCATTGCATCTAGTCTCAAATGTGGCTTGGGCATACACCAGTCTCTAACGTTTAAGACTGAAGCTAAGTCAACGGCAAATCTCAGCTTTTCATTGGTGGGAGATATGCAGCCTCCTTGCAGTATTTAATGCCTTTGTTGGAAGCATATGCAATTCAACCAGTTTGGCATTGTCACCTTCTGACCACGCAGTTGCTGTTTGTGCTTATTGCTGTTTCTCCTCTTGCCACTTCATTGTTGCTTTTGGTTTCAATTGCTTCGGGGTTGTTTTAAAGTGTCTACTGTGCATCAATGACTGGAGATGCATTCTGCTCGCAGAGAGTGCACAAGAAGCAGCACAGTCAAAGAAAGTGCAAGAAATGGGACACTCTTTGCAGAACTGTGCAGTGCTCCCACAGCAGCTCTGATCGGATACTCAAGGTCTTATTCATAAAACCTAACTTCAGGCTCTAAAGGGAAGTCCCTAAGAAGGGAGTCAGTTTGTGCTAGAAATGTCGGCTCCTTCTGGCTCACAGAGAGAAAAGGACACATTTGCCATGTGAGGTGTCTCAGCAAGAGCTTTTATAAACACTGCTGAAGCTGGGCCAACATGCGTTAGTAGATACAGCAAGGTCACAGCACTTCTGCCGCAGTCAGGAAAAGGAGCAGTGGTCTGCTCTCCCATACCTTCTTTGCACCAGTTGCTAGTTGAAGTCTCCTCCATGGGGCAATCGGGTGAAGTTAGATGGACCATCTCTCTTTGAGTAAATGACAGTCGATGATGGGACTCCATTGAAGAACAGCTCATCGCCTGTGGTCCTTGGAAAACAGTATTTGGAGGTCTCCCTGCTATTCCCAAACCAGTAAATTTCTCTGCTTTTTTTCTTGCCTTCCTAGGTACTGCCAGTTAACCACAGTGTGTTTGCCTTCCTCTTCCTTGTAACTCAAATTGTGTTTTGGTTTAAATTGAATATATAGTTATTTTTGTTTATTGTATCCCTCAGTCCCTGGTCTCCCTATTTCTGCATCAGAGATGCTCCTTGGCAGCCACGGGAGGGCAGTAAGTCTATATGGAGAAGTACCAGCCATTTTAAGGTACTCTGCTGTGTGCCCCTTGTTTTTCAGTGAGGCTGAAGGCCCTGGAGTCCCCCTCATAGCAGAGAGAAAACAGGCACCCCACACACCAGCACAGCTGCAGTTTTGGCACAGCGAGAAGCCTTGAGTGAGAGTGAGCTCATACTGTGCTAAAATCCATTTAAAATTAGCTGTTTTCAATATGCTGCCATGTTCAGCACTGCAGCTCTGGGTGAGGTGCTGCGCTCTATTTTGTTTGAGTCGCCCTGTATTTTTTTTATTAAAGCATTCGGTTGTCGTTTCAGTCCTACAAACCCCAAGCATAAGCCAGGGGTCTTACAGATATTGCTAAATTAGATTTTCTTCTGAACATCTTCAAGAAGCAAAGGAATAATTATACTCACTGCTTTGTCATTCCTCCTCTCGCTTTCAGTCTCCTGTTCTGTCCCAGAAGGTCTTGCTAATCTGGGGGGAAAAAAGAGCACGCTGCTGTCATTCCAGCTCTCGGTGCTGGGGAATTTAGGGTCCAGCTAGATCATGGTGTCTGTGTCCTCAGGAGGACCGGGGGCTATCTAGTTTTCTTGAACTCAGTTGTTTTATAAGAAAGCAGCCTGGACAAATGTGGTATCTTTGCCAGAACTTCTGCTACCATGCTATCCTTATACCCCCTAACGCACTGTTGCACCCTCATTGAACTTATCCTTGCTTCTCCTGGCCCAGTAAGGTAAAGGGATGTGAGCTATTCCCATATGGCAAATGGGAAACAGAAAGAGTAAGAGAGTAAATGCTGGGTTTAAGCTTAGTTACATAAGAAAGGTCTGCCCACGTCAGGTCACGGCATCAAACATGATCACACAAGTCACTATAATTTCTTTTACATCTTCCCTTTGCTGCAGGTTTGCTGTCACCCATCTTTTCTCACTCGAAATTCAAGACATTTGCTCTGAGCACTCAAGGAGTTAAGTGAATACAAACTGTTACCTTTTCTTTCGTGTGACACATTTGTTTGACAGGTGCCCAAGAGCACAATTTGGGAGGTGTCAGTGCTCAGCACTATTTATGGTTCAGTATTAAAAAGATATAAATAAATACAGACTTTGAAGTAGAACTAGCTACACTCCTTGATACAGAA